TGTGTGTCGCAACTATTAAAAAACGGAAAAAATTTAAGATTTATTCTCATTGTACATACACAAGCACGTCTCATAGGGAAATTATTTTTTGATACTCCATAGTATAAAAGGCAGAGTAAGGGAATGAACGGTAGGGCTTTTTTTAATGATAGAGTCATTCCTTATTTTGTACTTCCTCTGTTCCACAAATATTGCAACAAGGATGAAATAATTACGCATTTCAAAGCACATTTTATATGCTAAATATATATAATTATATAAGAGTAAAAATTATAAAAAGTTGATAATGTGAAAGTATTTTACGAAACGAATCTAACAAGACCCCATATGACTATGTTTTACTTTACATATAAATCATAATATGTGGTCAAACAAGCGTGATGAATAGTATAAAAATCCAGTTGTTGCAATATTATTAGAACGGAGGAAGTGTAAGATACATTAAGAGTAAGCATTCATGGACAACGATGGGCAAAGCTTAGTCAATTACTCCCTTTGTTTTTTTCAATGCCTCACTTTTCAAAAACGGTCATTTTTGTATCTCATTACCAAATATAGAAACCCCATTCACATTATATATTATTTCTCTCTTTTCTTTTTGATCCTACTATCATTTTATAATATATCTCCCTCCTACATTATATCCAGTGGTTCCAGCCCCATTTATATTTCTCCCTTACTCTTCCAATTTTTTAGCTTGAGTATTATACTCCCATAGTCCCAAATTAAATGCAAATTTTCACTTTGCAAATTCAATTTTTATAATTTTTGACCTTCCAAATTAATGTGCAAAATCATATATTATCAAATAAGATAGTATTAAATTTGTTTCAACATATGCCCTCTGTTTTTTTTAATGCGTCACTTTTCTTATATTGGGCTTTTTTTTTTTTTTTAAATGCATCACTTCTTTATCTGAAAACTTTTTATAATATTTTATCATTTATCTCCCTTACTTTAAACCCACTCAACTATTTTATCATTTCTCTCTTTCTCATGGTCTCCACTTAAATAATAAATAAATTCACTATCTCTCACATACTTTCTCTTTCATGATCTTTATTTTACTTTTATTATAATAAATTATTCATCCATTCACAATATTATATTACTCTTCTAAAACACCATGCATTTCCAAGTGATGCATGGATAGAATATATGTAAAGATATTATGTCGTATTTAGGATATATGTTATATACTTTGTATAATTATATTTTGAGGTCTCCTAACACAATTAAGACTCATATTGTAACCCTATATATATTGATCAATGATAATTACTCCAATTAAGGAGTTTTACAAAATCTAACATGGTGTCACAATTTCACAGCTTAGGTTTTAGGTCAAATCCTAGCTTCTGCAATTGTTTTACTATAAATAAAACATTTTGAATCATATCATGAAGTAATATATTGTTAAAAATATTTATAGTAAAAGAATTATTTTTAAACAATTGTGTAATGATAAATGTTGCACTTAATTTGAAACCTTATGCGAAATTCGGCATTCATGAAATCAAAGTAAGGATTTTTTGACAATTACCACCTACAATTGTTGCTGTTTTGAATTACTACCTACAGTTTTTTTTATTGAAATTTACCACCTACATTTTATGAAAATGATAAAACTTCCCACCATTTTGAAAGATGACGTCATGGTGAGGCCCACAAACGGTCTTCCCCTTATTTTCCTTCCTTTTCCATCCTTCCTCTTTCGATACTCAGTCTTTCTTCTTCATCTCCTTTTTAATTTTGCACAAATATTAAAATTAAATTGCTAAATTAAAAAATAGGGTTTCAAAATTCATTGTTCTTGCTTCAAATCTTAAAAAATTAGGGTTTCTAGCAATTTGATTTCAAGTTATGCCTCAATTTAGATGGAAGTGGAAGAAGAGGGAAGGGAGAATCGAGTGAAGAAGAAATAAAACGAAGAGGGAAATAGCAAGGATGACGTCATCTTTGAGGGGTTGCTCAAATTGGTGGGAAGTTTTAGTATTTTCATAAAATGTAGGTGGTAAATTTCAATTAAAAAAGTTGTAGATGGTAATCCCTAAAATAGCAACAATTGGAGGTGGTAATGGTCAAAAAACAGCAAGCCCCAATTTATAACCTAGATAAACAAATTATGTTTATCAAATGGCATTTTCGTAAATAAGTTGCATTGAAAATTGTTTTTTTTTTATTAAAAAGTATATATTTTTACTGTTTGTGGGCCACTATGACAAGTTGGACAAAATTTCAAAGTTAACACCGTTAACTCTCCGTTTGCTACTATTTATCATCTTCTTCCTCCCACCTTCTTCTTCATGTTCATCTTCTTTTTCTTGTTCATATTTTTTCTTCCCACCCACCTTAATCTTCTCCCTCCAATCTGTGCCCACTTTCACCTTCTTTTTCAAGTCCGTTCGACTCCATTTCCGTCGGCTTCGCCAGCGAAATTAAACGAAAACTCAAATAACAAAGTGAGAACGGGCATGGTTAACCCTAAAGGGTTGATAAGCTTTTCTCCCTCCATTAATTTCGACTTGTTCGACGTCATATAGTGAAAAGGTGTACTTCCACCATTAAAATTAAAGGTTGAAGGAGGAAAGAGGAAATCAGAAAATATCAAAAGGTTGAGAGAGAAGAGAGAAAATAACACTTAACCAAAGTTAGAAGTAATCTACATATACACTTCTTGATAAACAACTCTTATTTATCAAGATTATAAACCTGTATTTTCTCGTCAAAAAATCCTCAAAGTAACAAAGTAAGGCATCAATATGTTTTAGACCAACAAACAATCACATGCTAGTAGAAACAAAGAGTATGAAAAGTTCTGTAGAAAATCTAAAAAGTATTTCCTATCTTCTACTATCCTTAACAAACAACAGTAGCTAACGTCCATGCATGACACATTTCCCGTTGAACGTAAATGAAAACTTTGCTTTATCTTTTCTTTTTTTTTTTTTTTGTCATTTTCTTTTTGCATGGAATTATATCATGCATGTAACGCTTATTCATTGGTTGGTTGCTTAGTACGAGAAATCTTTATTTTTTTTTATAAAGAAGAAATCATGGTTATATAATAAGCTATTCAAAATAAGGAAAATAACTCCTTTTTTTTTCCTCTACTTTTTATACAACATACAAAAAATGGCATAGAAATCTAGGAAAAGAAACCAATAAGTGAAAAGAAAACAGATAAAAAGATAGTACTTAAACATGAAAGGTAAAAAGGGAAAAAGTGAATTGTAGAAATCGAGTACGTAGATTTAGTTTAGTTGTTTTTTTTGCATGGATTTAACCCTAAAACAGAACCCTAGGTTTTTTTAAATAAAAACAAATAAATAAATAAAATTATTAGAAGAGTCAAAAATCTGTTAAAAGAAGAAATTACATACTTTTATATAAATGTATATTGATAAATCAATATAATATATGAGAATCTGATACTCTATCCTTAAAATGCTCAAGAAGATCATGCATAAAGGTATTAGAATTTGGGGTTGCTAAAAGTGAGATAATTATCAGATTATGACAAGTTTTGGTCAACAAAATGATGCAATTTAACTAATCCATATGAAATATGACAGCTCAAAGGTAGATTCACTATTTGAGACATCAATTATACAATTTTTATTTATTTATTTATTTATTTACCTAGATTTGACAAAAAAGAAGCTAAGGATTCATCCATCCAACATAAACCAATGGTAGGAAATGACTAAGGAAATACTATGGGTTTTGAGAAGCCACCAATAGCCTTCCAAAACAACTTTGATACCTATGTCTAGCTTTCGTAAAAGTTAGTTTTCATTGACACAAGTAGTAGAACAGATTAAATTCACTCTCCTATTCGGAAAAGAAATAAAGGAAAGAAAGAAAATTAAACTCGGAAAAAGTTTTCTAGATTGTTTAATTCAACCAAAAGTTTAATCCTCAATTGTAGATGAATAATGTGAACTTTTGCCTTGTTTATCTAAAGATGAAGGTTTATCTTATCATTGCGTGATGGATATGTGTCACAATCCGAGTGCTTTTATTTATTATTTATTTTTTTATTTGGTGCTCTCTTATCTTACAATAAATGAAGTATTATTCAACAATATAGATTAATCTTGGATTTCATTATCGCTTACCTCTTTCTATGGACGGCTTAAGAGCGCGCCACACACATTAAAAATTGAATATAGTGCACTCCAATTCATTAAAAACGTAGTAATTAGGACTTAAAATTTTGTATTGAGCTTCATTTGATCATTACTCAATAATTATTCTCAGCTCCTTTTTTAATGCAAAAATTAATCTAAAAATTAGGAGGTTCTCCTTTATTAAAGCCATAAGAAACAAACCAAAAAGATAACTTAGAAAAAAAAAAATTGACACGAAAGTGAAAACAGAGTGTTTGAACAAGATTAATCCACTTAACCGAAACAAATACTAGAATTATTGCTCTGAAATGGACGTGAAACTATAAGTTTTTAGGTACTGTAATATGCTGTTATAGTGTCACGTAATCTATTAAATCAATTGTTTAGTTGAAGTGAATTTTGTGTGACTTTTATTATATATATATTTCTTCGTATTCTGTTTCATACAAATCATCTCATTTGCATGTACTCTCACTAGAATAAACAATTTAATTAAAATAAGTAGGGCCGGGATAAATTTCATATTCTTACCTTCTAGTGCTTTTAACAAGGCTATTACTTTAAACTAAATTGCGAAAATTATACGAATTACTACATATATAATAACCCAAAATTTGGGTTGTCGTTGTCTATTGATACAAACTTAACACTAGATTTTCAATGACGAACTTGTAATGTTTCTACACCAACTGTCCAAACGTGACAAGAATCTTTATTGCTCATATTATTTTAGTTTAACATGATTTACGAATGGATTAATTATCGTTAGAAAACACAAAATTTGGAAAAATTTCCGATCATAACTATATTACATTGGACAAAATTGAAAACCAGGCCAACACAGTAAATAATAATTGAACAACTAAATAATACTTGTAATAAACTATGTTAACTGAATTACGATGATTTGTTGATAATCGGAGAATAGGAGAACTTTTTTATGAAGAAAAAAATTCATTTACATTGCTTCATAATGCTTATAAAAAACTAATAACAATATTGGCCCATTAATGAAGATCAACAGGGCAACTGAAGAAATAAAAAAAAAAAAAATTAATGTTTAAAGGAAAAGAAAACTGTATTTTTTCTGAAAGTAAAAATTAAGATTTCTAAATGACTAACTATTACAGTAATTGGCTAGTTTTATGAGTCCTAGGGAAGATTTTCTGCCCAGGAGCAAGGATGGCCATTGGATCGAACATCACCTTTCGTTCAACAAATCTTGGCCATTGGCTCCCAAAGTGTTGCTTCCACTCTTCTTGTGTTTGGTAATGTGGAAGATACAACTTGAAATCGTACCCTTTCTTTGTACAATGCCTAACAATTTCCCTGTTCTCGGCCACCAAATCCGCCACTGGCGGACCACTAGGATAAGGTGGTGTGAATCGGAGCAACGCCACCAAGTAAAAGATTTCCCCTTCTGGTATTACTACAGAGTTACGGCTATCCCATCTGAATAATCCAAGAAAAGTATTTCAGTCACAAATTATGCAATGCAAATACGATTTAATTTCAAAATACTAGTAGTAGAAAATAAAGCAATTATTATCATAATTATTTAAACATGTACATTCCTAAATCCGAGTAATTACAAGAAGATACTATAAAATCACTAATTCCATAAATACTTGTCTAGCCTATATTTGGACATTTATCAACATATACCCACACAAGACAAAAAATCACCAAAACATGAGGTGACTTTTATACTTCCTACGTCCACAAATAATAATCCCATTTTCACTAAAAACATTCAAATTTCTCTAATTTTATAACCACTAATTTATTCAAAGATATACTTTTAAGTTTTGACGCAAACCTTTACAAGATGCATATTTTATCGGTAATTACAAGAAGATGCAATAATATCACTAATTCCACAATCCTTGTCAAATCACTTGGACAGAACTCAACAAAAACTCACCTAAAATTTGAGGTGACTTCTATACTTCCTACATCCACACACAATAATGCCACTTTCACTAAAAACACTTGAATTTCCCTCAACTATAACTATTACAAAATACTAATTTATCAGTTTTCAACTTTCCCCCACAACCCCACGCATCCATCCAGATTTAATAGTAATCGCGCAACTAGTTCAGATTACACTACTAGCGAAACTATTGATTCATGACTAATTGTGTAATTAATTCTAAGAATTAAGAAGAGAATATAATATAAGGTTGCTACATTTGGAATGTCTAGTTCTGTCAAAACATTTGGAATTTTGCAAAAAAATATTGGGTTTTAACCCAAAACACAGAATCATCACAAATTTAATCAGAAAACAGACAAATAATTTGGCCATACAAACGTCATCCATCAGGCAGGGAGGAAACAGATACAGTACTCCAGTAAATAAGATGGAAGAGAGAGAAAAATCAGCCGTTGAGAGCCAGACAAATTATGGTGTCATTATTAAAAATGGTTGGCATTTTAAAATACATCTTGTCGTTTCTCAAATTCCTAAAGTAAAAGAATCCATCATTAAAAGCTGCATTCTCCCCTCTAAAAAATAAACATCATTACTTGGTATTACTAAAAATACCTTTAGATTATGTGAAAATGTTAGATTACTATTGGACCACTTAAAGATGATCCTATTACATGTATATTTATTGAGTGTTGGGTGATTAATCAAATTTAAACTCGTAAACTAGTTTGTGGTTCGCTCAAATGGATTTTAACTTCAGTGAAAACACCCAAAATCTTAACTATTCGCCTATTGGTCTACTAACGACATCTCCATTTCAATTTCAACATCAACCATAACCTACCACCAAGTAGATTCCATATACAATAGAATTTGGCCAGGCTAAAGATGTAAACATAATAATTTTGTTTTTGAAAAAAGAAAAATCCAAAAAATCCTGAAAACAACATTTCTTATATTTGAGAATAAATGGAGTAGAATGAAAACTACGTGAAACACAATTTTGAATTGTCACATTAGAAATCAGATGACACCTAGCTTAGACAATAGCCACCTCAGAAGTTTAGATAACTACTCCTCTCATTGTCAATCGAAAAATTTAGAGGAAACATCTATTATTAAATCTATACTTGATTCAAATTATCCTCATTTATACATGTAAATAGGAAAAAATATGATAGGTTAAAATGAACAAAAAGGAAAAGATTAAAAAATCAAGATTCAATGAGTGTATATCCTCCACACATTGTCAATCGAAGTTCAAAGATACATCCATTGAATCTTATAGGTAGTCCGAACTCATCTCCTCATTTGATTGGTAAAAATGAACAAAAGGGAAAAGGTTAAAATTGATGATTTAAGAAGTACTTCATATGGTTGATGGTGGCCCACAAAATCAGAAGCATTTAGGTATATAAGTTACTAAGTACTTGGTATTTGTTTCATCACGGGTGCACCAATTATCCAAATACCTTCTATAGAATGTGAGATACTGAAATATAGAATGTGACCTACCAAATACCTACTATAGAATGTGAGATACTGAAATATAAGTACAAAGAAAACACCAAACAATTGCTATAATATATGCATGACCTAATTAGCGTACAGTTTTATGGTGGGATATCAGTATTATTATTACTATTTATATCATATTATAAAATATTATTTTATATTATATTATATTCATGTAATAACAAAGGAAGATTAGGTCCCATACTGTGCCATTTTTTTTGGTTTTTTTGGGAGACTTGAGAATTGTGTTTTGGAAGAGTCTAAGATTAGGTTCTAGAAAAAGGTTGTGAAAAATTTAATGTTTATGGACCAAGAACAAGAGATTCAAGATTTTAGAGATTTTGACAATCAATATAAGAAAAATCTTAACCACCCTTATAATACAAAACAGTTGAATTAGTCAGCGTGTCAAATCCTAGGAGGTCGATTTCAAGGCAAACTAATGGTGACGTGGGTCCCACGTGTTGCCAACACGTGCCGCATTCACATAGTCCAAAATCCAAATTTAAGCATGGTAAGGACGACACATAGGTGATATGCATGCAATTAAGCACTTAGGACCCCATTTTCACATGTAGTTATTATGATCATGCTCATAAAAAAGCAATAATAACACTTTGTAATTAGGTTCAAATCAACGTGAAAAAGGCCAAAAATAACAGTCGGAGAGAAAAAAACAGTTGGAGAAATTGAGCTGGCATTTGCTTAAAACAGAAACATCCATGCAATTAAGCATGTAGGTCCTATGCTAAAAAAATCCCAGGTAGTTGTGATCGTGCTTTTGAAAGTAATTGCTAGGTAAAGTCAAAAAATCTAAACTCCAATTTTACCCCCACCCCACCCAATCCTAAAGACCGATATGACATAACAATAACCCGTCAATCTATAAAGAGCGTGAAATATCTGGCTCGAAACTGACTTGACCTAGTCATCCCAACAAATACGTAAAGGAAAAGGAAAGGGAGATCATAAAATATCTATGTCTAACAATTAAGAAAACTTTAGAAGAAAAGTAAGGTAAAAATAATTTATTAATTTATATACAATTGAAATGAAAATAAGACAAAACTAATAAGCAAAAATGGGGAACAAACAACAAAAATAATAAAAATAATGAAAGATGATCATAAAACAATACTCTCCTAAAACATGTAGTCCCACATTTATCTAGTGGGGAGGTCCCTTAATAAAATGCCATTTAGTAGGTTTTTATTTATTTTAGGTGCATATACATCACTTCCTATCCTTTCCATATCAAGTAAATTGTTTCTTAGTGGTCCTTATTATTATTATTATTATTATTATTAGTCCATTCTCTCCATTTACATTTACCCCTCCAATTTTATTTATATTATTTTATTTTATTTATCTTATTTTAAAATAATTTAATAAAAATGACCCCCAAATAAAAGGAAGCCAAGTGGAGTATAGCAAAGGCATAGAAAGGGGGGACACACAAAATAAAATGAGAACAACCAATTAAAAAAGAGAAGAGAAGTTGAGAAATAATCACCTGCTTCGCAGGAGAGGGTAGACTAACATGGGCCCACCAATCCCACCCTTGAGGATCTTCTTAAAGACCGTCCGATCAAAATCAACGATATCACGCTTTGATACGAACAGATTTAGCCACGGATGTGGGGCCTCCCATATTCCACTCGCCGTTGCTTGTTGCTCTGCTTTCTTTACTCGGAGTAGGAAATCCATGTAACTCACGTCCACCTGAAACCGTAGGCCCTCGACGAATCTCAGCCGTCCGATCAACCTCTCTATTTCCTGTAAATTTGTGGGGAGTTCAGGGTTAGTTTTGTAATTTTGGTTTGGTGGGGGATGCTGGGACCAGGACGTCAGCCGGAAATCTCAATGATCAGCAATACGACAGCAAGTGGAAAGAGTACAATTACTAATATAGACATGGATGGCTGAACAAAGAGACTGACACTACTACATAACTGAGGAGTATCACGACTATTAATCCGTCTCATTTTAATCGTCCCATTGAAATCGACTAGAAATAACGTTAGAAAAATTAAATGTATAACGTATGAATGTAAGAGTAAAATAGTGGTCAATTATTGTTGATAATGAAACTAATTCAAAGAGATGAACCAAATACGAGGTAGATAATTGGGGCAAACAAAAGAAAACGGGAGAATAAATAACGAAGGGGCCACAATAGTAATTTGGGAAGTTTGGTTTGCATGGCTGTTTCGATACGTTATGGTGTCAGAAAATCCAATGGAAGATTTGTTGATTACATTACATACCCGTATGGTCAGTTTCAAACACTCTCTAGTCCCCCATTTTTTAATTTTTTTTTTATTTTAACTCAAGCAGATAAAAAAGAAATCAGTACAGTCACTCGTGCGAGCGGTAAAAAATTAAAGGTAAAAAAATAGATGGGCCCAAGTAAAAGATTAATCCATGGTCAAACATGTTAATTGGGTCCCACAACTTAATAGACCCCACATTAATTATTTAAGGTCAAAACGAAGTCCTGGTCTTCAAAAAAAAAAAAAAAAAAGTAAAATTAAAAAAAACTCCGAAGTAAAAGTATTTCGTACATGAAAAAAATAAATTAAATGATAGCGGTTTGGACGACTTTTGTAGTTCTAATATATCTTTCCAGTACTTTAATCATTGAAGAAAATTATCATAATTTTATCCTACATTCTTAAATTTACAATACTCGGTAAATAATCATTAGATTACGAATTTGTTTGTTCGACTTATTTTGTCTGAATTTATGTGAATAAAACAGAACCTATACGTGTGCATTTAATAATTAGTAAATGTAAAAAGAATGTATAATTACCGAATCAAGAAAGGAAGGATGTTGGTGGTGGTGAAAATGGAGCGCGACTTCAAGGCAATACAAAACGGACCCTGAACTCGGGGGAAGAAAATCCGGGTTAAACCACTGATCCGAATCCAAAGTAACCGAAGGCCAACCATTAATCGGATCATCACTGTTAACAAACACGAACCCCTCCACATAATCGAACGAATTCTCCTTTGATTGACTCACTATGAACTCAGCATCACGGGTGAATTCGTCGAACTCGGAGTATACTAACCTTATCCATCTCACCTAATCCCCCACAATCCAAAAAACATAAAAATAATATTAGTACGTGTTAATTTATTTACGAAAATATTACTAGATAATATTAGTACATGTTAATTTATTTACGAAAATATTACTAGATAAGCGTTTTTTTTAAAATATACGAACCATGTCCGGAGCCTTTTGGAGGGGAATTCTTGCCCGAGTAATAACCCCGAACTGCCCGAGACCACCAAGGACGGCAAAGAAGAGGTCAGGGTAAACAGATTCAGAGCAAATTACAGTTTCACCCCTACCCGTAACAACCTCCAATTCCGTTACGTTAGACGTTTGAGGTCCATAACGGAAAGCCTGCCCGCTAACGCCGGCGTTAGATAAAGTCCCACCAACCGTCAAAGCAAGATAATCCGTCCAACTCCTGGGAGCCAATCCATACCCCAAAACGCACCGTTTTAGCACCTCCTCCCACAATGCTCCCCCGCTGACGTCAGCGTAAGAGAGAGAATTAGACGACGAAACGACGACGTTTAACGAAGGGTGGTCCCCCATGGCACGCATATCGATGACCAACCCTTTGTCGGACATCGCTTGGCCGTTAATTGAGTGGCCGTTACCTCTTGCTGCGACTCGGAGAAACGGCGTCGTTTGGACTGATTTTATCACCGTTGCCACGTCGGATGAACCGGCTGGTCGGATTACCGCTAACGGCTTTGTCCGGTTCATTCCGCCGAAATCTTTACCGGCCAAACCGGTAAAAATTGAGTCGTAATCAACTGTTCCTTGTATTTCTTTCAACGCTTCTTTCCATTCAGCAGCATCGCCTTGTTCGCCGGCCTCAACGGCGTCGTTTTGCCGAGATTCGGCGTCGTTTTCATGGTGGAAACTATGCTCTATGAATGCTATCATTTTTCCCAGAAATTAAAATTGAATTATTATTTTTATTATTACTACTATTCTTTTATTATTATCTCCCCTGTTTTTTTCTCTCTTTCTCTGTTTTTGGGTACTGAAATTCTGGTTGAAATGAAGGGTTTATATAGGGGGGGAAAAAAAAGAAGGGAGAATACCCAATTAATTAGTGGATTAAATAATTAATTTGGGGAAATTATGACTATAACTGAGTCAAATTTTAAAAATTAGGAGAGAGAAAGAGGAAATTGTTTAAGAGAAATGGGAGATGCAATGTACTGTATAAGTAAGGTTGAAGAATGTGTAAAATGAAGTCAGAAATTAAGGATTCGTTTCTGTTTCAGAGAAAAAATAAAATATAAATAAATAAATAAATAAGCAAAGAAAAGAAGAAGAGAGAGAAAGAGAAGAAAGGGAGAAAAAGGAGGGTGTTAAAGGATACGTTTCGATATCCAGTTGGGGAAGGAAAGTTAATAGATGGATTATGGAGTTTATTGACATTATTTGTCTACCACTTCCTTTCTTACATTACTTTATTACTTGGATTAAATTTATACTTCTACGTATACAAAAGATTTTCTGTTTCTTTCTTTGGTTATTGATCATGTGTTAGTGTTGTTTTCCTGGTATTGGAAGTCCTTTTGATGGCTACTTGAGAAAATATCAAAATGATTTACGAGTACCCTGACCCTTTATTGTTAAAGATTTACGTTGTAAAAAGAAATAAAGTAGGTTGAAAGTTCCAAATTTTCTAAGCAAAAAACGCATTTGTCATTATTAATGAAGAGAATGATGATATCTATGCTATAAGGGTTCGCATTATATTTTGATTTTGGAATAAATAGAACGAAAAAGATATTTTGGACAAGGAGGTTAAAAATTAAAAATCATAAACTCAAATTTTTGCAATATCTACGTTTACCAAAGAAAAACCTTTGTATACCATATATGTACATGCAAAAAAATCACGCATCAAGTATGTGAGATTGATGTAATAATTATTGCTTACAAATCAAAATCAATTTCAAGGGATGCCTATGATTTTGGTTTAGTTAAAAGAGAGAGAAAGGGATTTGGGATTTTAGACAAGGAATTCAATATTTTATATTTCGTATTTTATAGGTACCATAATTACAACATTTTCAATACCTACCAATCTATGCTAAAGAAAAACAAAATACACATTCGAATCTTAATGAGGAAAAGGATGTGATCTACATAATTATTATTGCCTGTAAATCAAAATAATTTCTAGGATTGCATATCATTTTGGTTTAGGTTAGTAGTGATACATTCTTCTCATAAGAAACTTCAATAAATACTTATAAAATAATAAATTATCCAAAAAGTTTGTTTCTTTTATATGAAGGATCGATTTTGTCCATTCAATTGTTGCTACTTATAAATTAAAGAGTTCAAATAAAAGTTAAAATTTTCTTGTCTACCATTTACGTAGTATATATCAAGAAATATGCATATGCCATTAGCCTTTTTTTGTCGACCATATATATATATACAATATATTCATGCCAAAAACCATGCATCAAACTGTCTTATTAATTTTGAAACACACATAAACATCGCGTGCATTTAGATTTAGGGTGACTTATTTTCACCTGAACTTATATAAACTTGTTTTATTAGACTTGAATACCTTTAATTTTCATGTTATTTGTACATGGTACACCTGATTAGTCTTAATTAGACTTGAATTTTTTTTATTTTTCTTTTTGGTTTATTAGAGATTAAAAAAACATCCCTTTATAATTATTCAATTAAATTTGGGCCTTTCAATTTGATTTGCGGTACGGTGGGAATTACAACATTGTTTGTCAAAGATGAAATAACTCTAAAAAGTATTAATTTTTATAAAAACTTAGGATGAATTAATAGTAGATTAAAAAAACCAAGAAAAGCGTAATTGAAGATTTTGTAGACTATCCATTAAGTTAATGGCATTATACAAAGAAAAGTTGCATGAGTAGTGACGCAGCTTAATTGCCTTTATTTAGTTCTTAAGATTTGGTTCTTATATAAGCACTCCAGCTCTTACTTGCACTAATTTTACGTTGCGTTTGCAAAAGTCACGCCGTAATTTTTTTGATTTAAAGTTATTATTAGTGGAGATAAGAAACCTAATTATTTAATTGTCTCACACTCTCACATATTTAAACTTATTTTAATTTGGAAATAAAATTGAAAATAAAGTAAACTAGTACGTATTAATTTATAAGAGTTGAGCTCTTTAAAAATATTGCGTATCTTCATACTAATAGTATATTAGTACCCTATCTATTTTTTGACAAGAATATTAGTACCCTATCTTGAATATACATGCATGATAAATTGGTAATCTGTCACTAATTATAAAATGCAAATGTGTTTTGGATAGTCTTTACTCCCTTTATGTTTATGGTTAATGCGATAATTTGTAGTGAATTACCGAATGAGCAACCATGTAGAGGAGCTTTTTTTTAATGCACTATGTACATGCATATTTATTTCTTTTAATTTCATATCATCTAAAATTTCTTCTTCTAGTTATTTGTAGGTGATAAGAATCAATCTCATGATTTCTTGAAATCGGAGGGAAACTCTAACCACTAGAGCTATCCCTAACTACGCTGAACGACAAAAAATATATTGAGTATTAATACCTCTCTTTTACAATTCTTAATTGTTACTTCCTTTGTTTATCTATAGTTGCAACACTTCTCTTTTCACGTTTTTCGATTATTTCAATTGTTAATATCTTTAATTACAAATATGTAAAAGTTATAAACATTTGATATTAAAACAAAATAAATCGAGACGAATCTAACAAGATCCCACTTGACTATATTTTTGCTTAATTAAGTATAAATCATCACAGCTAGTCAAAGTGAAACACATGAATAGTGTAAAAATCAAACTGTTGCAACTATAAAAAAAACGGAGGAAGAATCTTTTTAACACCCTAAGAATATAATTTTTCATATATGGTGCTTGTTATGTCTATATCATAAGAGTTTATTATGGAAAAAAAAAATTAAAAATGTTGATACCTTCAATCCAATAAATTGATAAAATTTATCATTGATGATTAGAGTGTTGGAACATTATTTATGGAATAAATGGAGCTTATATATGTATCAAATTTGAAGTTTACATTATACTAGCTTAGGTATTGAGGAGGTCAGGATTGGTAAAATGGATTTTTTTAGTGGTAATGCAAAGCAAATTACACAAGAGAAAACATTATAAGGAATTGAAATACTAATTGATTTTTTTCTATGTCAAATCAGATCGGGCGAAACTCAAATTAAATTAGGTTTAATTACGTCCATTTTCTGCACTTTGTGGAGATGTTGCGCACCCAATCGAGGGACACTTGCTCGGTCGGGCATACATTACGATTTTCCAAAGTTTTGTCAGTTGCACGCTCGGTTGGATGAGTTATCGGGTGGACAATTCAGCTTTGTAAATGGTATCTTTGTGAATATTAGTGCTACCTCCGTGTCATATTATTTGCAATTTTGAGGTATTATTTGTGAAATATAAAATATTTCAAAGTTGCAAATAATATGAAACAGAGGTAGTATATGCATGACATATATGATATATAGAAGGATATAATATTCATATCTTCTTCCTTATCTTGAGATAAAATTTGTAGTAATTTCCTTAATAGTGAAATAAACACATTTCCTCACAAACTTTGTTGAAATAGTTTTGTAAGAAAAAGGAAATTAAGGGTTCGTTTGGCATTGTTGTGGTTTTCTGTTTTTTGATTTTTTTTATTTTCAAAATCATATGATATATGTTGTATAATGAATAAAAAAATTAGTCAAACTTATTGAAATCTTGAAAAGTTAGAAAACTGACAACAAAAAGTGAAAACACATTTTTTCTTGTTTCTTGTTTTTAGTTTTTGGTTTTCAAAAAAACAGAAAATTGAAAACTAAAAACAATGGCAAACAAGCCCTAAATCAATTGGTTTTCCATTGTATGATTTGTTCCCAATATTTATTGTGTAGCTCTATTACTTCAAAAAGTAAGTAGATAAATAAACTATTAGTTAGGTGTTTATTACACCTTAAAGAATTTATTTGGTCTCTTTATTTTAATTTATGCCAAATTCCTCCTAGAAATTCTTACATAAAGGAGAGAAAATATACTTTGTATTTGTTTTTTTGTTACCATTCATTATTTATATGTCTTTTGTTCATAAAAACATCTTAATGAATATGAACAATAATTATAATCACTCAATAAGTAATACGGAGTACTACCTACACTTCCAACAACAAATAGCACGTAAGTAATAAGAAAAAGAAGTAATCATGATTAGTTTTCGAGTCATCTATATACATCAAATTAATCAATGAAAATTTAATTAAAATTTTAATAAAAAAAGTAGTTAGCATATATAAGATCATCTTTCTTACAATCATGATCAATATCTTTGACCGGCTTCTAAATCATGTTATCCAATTTTGAATTGAATTCATATGATGTAAAAATTGTTTTGCAGGTTGTTTAATTTGTTCAAAGGCTCATGATGGATATATATTTCAACCAATAAAAAAAAGTGATTCAAATTTTTATCGTTTCTAATTTGTTGGTATATAAGAGCTACCAAAGCTCAATGTAATGGTCTTTGGAACTTTTATTTCTTTTTGACAAGATTTTTCTATTTGATGTCCAATTAAATAGAAACATTACATTATTTGTTTTGAGAAATGTTATGTGTACGTAGTAGTAGTAATAGTAATAATAACAATGTTTTCAACTTTAGAAATAGTAATTAATAAAATCAATATTAAATTAATATGGAGTAGGTGAAGTTAATTGATATAATTATTAATGTATAAAATCAGCTTTATATAATTTAAATAAATAACTTCGCAATTCATGTAATTAAAAACCACTAATAGATAAGCTCGTAATAATGCATTTTAACCAATATTAATAATATCAGTTTAGTAAAAAATCAAATGTTGATCATTAAATTAGCAAGCTAGCTAAGGCCTTAGTTACAAAACATTTATTGCTGATGCACGTCAGCTATCAATTCACTCAGCTCACCTGTAGTTTAATCTCATCCACATCACTACCTTCTATCGCTCTTCTCACAAAACCCAATTAAATTACGTTGCAAAATAATTTTTGAATAGTAGCAAAAGGCATTGTGGTGCTAAGTACATTTCTGGCCTTTTTACACGTATTAATTTTGTAGGTAATAATGTAAAATTAATTAGCTTTCAAGGAAAAAAATGTAAAATTAGTTAAGTTAATAAGAGATGGTGCAAGTCATGCATGCATAATATAGTGGGTGTCTTTTCACAATGACAATTTTTCTCATAAAAACCTTTCACATTACATAATCACTTATGCACAATAATCATGAATCTTTTTCAATGAAGATATTCACAAATCTTGTTTTGGACCACAAGATCACTCATAAGCTTGATTCGTATTTTGACTAAAGAATCGCGAGAAATGTTATGGTCATATTTTAAATGGTGATTTTGCCATTTAGTAATTCTATAAAGAAGAAAGATAACAATTTGGGGAACTCAAGCCATAATATTTATTGGTGAGGATTGATTCATGACGTCTTATCTAAGGTAGAAGGAGAAGTAGGAAGGTGAAAGGGGAGAAAAATAAGAGCTAAGTGTAGACGTAAAAGATGCATACTTCAACGTTTTGATTATGTTCAATATCATGGAAGACGGCAGGAAAATCTTTTACTATAAGGATGTAATAGACCAGCCCCAATCCTAATTCCGATCCGGCCCCGATTGGCCAATTGTTTTAAAGAACTTAAATTATGTGCCTCGTGTCAAATCCGTTAACTCATTTGCTTATTTGGATGATTTCAAATGAGTAAAAATACTTCGTATATAATTATATAAGAGATGTGAGGTACATCGTACACATATTTCTAAATAAACTCAGTGTAATGTATTTGCCAATACCCAGGCGAATAATAAAGTTAAACTAGAAAGTTCAACACAAAGAAACTCAAAATTTATATTGGACAATGAGTAAGTACTAAGAGCTTTTCGATTGTTATTAACAAAAATTATTAATTGAATCATAATTCTATTAGAAATTAGCTTAGCTTATATTGCATTCGTGAGACCCAACTTTGGCAAGTTTTTCTAAATTAAAGTGATTTCAACTTTGAGGCTTCAAGGAGCAAATTTAAAAACGACGTTCATTTTATGATTTATAATTGTACAAGGATATAGATTTTAGGTTTATCTTCAAAAGTAGACTGTACCAATATTGAGGATATATAATTCCTAAATTCATGTTATCGTCAGTGAGAAAACCACTAAAATGTATGGGTATCGACCTACACTCTAATAGAAAGAAAATTAATCGTTGAGGATAAAAACAAAAATGAAGTTCACATGCATGTATGTAGCATTTAGGACAATTATATGCACAAACTGCAATAATGTTTAATATTATATTGTAATATTGTTCCTATATATAGGGACTCCATTCACATAGTAAAAGCACGCAATGAAATAATTTTCATCCATTCTACTTCATTTACTTCTTATAAAATTTTCTCTCGATAAAGTTTCTTTTAACGATAACAATTTTTTCTTTCTCTTAAAAGTATCATATCCTTTATGAGTAATTTGCCTGCGCCACTTGTTATCATTGTTGATGGTTCAAATTTTAGATTAAAAAACTCCCTTTAATGTTGTTGAAGTTCTTAAAATTAAAATTGTCCATCAGTTGTCCTTATATTAAGGTAAAGTTGTCTTCCAACCCTAGTCTAATCACTAAGAGCATACTCAATCACAAATACAAGAATATATTATTTTTCCATGTTGGATACCAAAGAATTCCAAAATATTGGTCCTCTCCTTAGTTCTATATATACCTTATCAATCAACCAAGATTTTCTTTGATATTGTTCTTCTTTTATGCTAGATAATCTACCATCTACCCCCCTTATTCCAGCTTATACAAAGGATTTTGACATGTGATCTAGACTTTTATAAAGATGGCTCTTCTTTTCTCCTTTTACATGTGGCATTTCCTATCCAAATCTTGGACTTTTCAGTCATTCTTCTATTTGGAAAATAGATATATATATAGTGTGTGTAGTCATGCATGAGTATATTAACTATTTCTTAATTTTTCAACAAAATGTTCATAATATGGGTGAAGTCGATTTATATATAACCTCTTACAAAGTAAAGTATAGTTTGTTGTAATTTGAGACAAAGAGAGTATGCTACATACTCCTATTACATTTTAATTTGATCGATGTAATCAGTGGCATGTAGCTTGGTACACATTCGCATATACTAATAATACTATACAGTGGATTTCTCTAGAAGCAAATCTTGTCTATGATTTGTATGACACTAATTTTGAATTTACAAAAGCATTATTGTGGTTAATTAGATGATGTTTTGGTCGGTAGAAACAAAGGGAAATGACTTAATTCTATAAGTTTAGTCAGCATGATGAACGTGACAATTATGCCAATTAGATTAAGGTTGTCGACTAAAATAAAAACTTTGAAATATGTTAGAGGTAGTTAAGATACGGGTCTGTTTCATAGATTTGATACAAATATTCAGGTTGAATAATATAGTATAATGGTTGAACTCAATTATGGAAGCATAGATTCGGTAATTAAATGCATGAAAAATGTCTCTTTACTTTATTCATTTGAAAAAACCAACACTAGCTAAAAGACACAAGCAAGCCTCGTTAATCTTCAACTTGTTTTAGGAATTGAAATTATTTCTACTAATGAACTTAATTGTTTTACAGAATATCACTGAATCTTACCAATTCCTTTGATTTTGCTACATGACAATGAATTGAAGTAGCATCATACATTGATAATTATACTTATAACGTGACCTTTTTTTTTTCTATAGGTACCTACATACTGACTAGGCAATTTGAGAGAATGGAGAGAAAGGTAAGGGAATCCCCAATTTTTTTTTTTCCACTAATTAAGTCAAGCTTAAATTGGTATAAAAAATGACCTAATTTGGTAATATGAGTGTAAGATTATATTTTCATCACATATGAAAGTAATTAGTACAAGAGTACATATTTTTCCTTTTTAATCCATAAATATCTATTTTAATCTATATAACTTGGCAAGTTATACGGTGTTTAACAAAATGCATTAGTGAATCAATATAAGTATATAACTGATAATCTCATATAATAATGAACTAAAAATCAATAAAAAAAAGAAGAAAAAAAAAGTTGCATTAAGTAAAAATTAGTTTAAATTAGTAAAAATCAGGTTGCTCGATAAAAATAATTTTGACTGAGAAAAAATCAGGTTAAGAGAAAAAGAATTTTTAATACTTTGTATTATTACTCCGTAGTTGATTGGGGATGGTGTATGATGTATGTAATTTTTTTTTTTTTTTTTTGGGTGTTAGTATGATGTATGTAATGACTATATGAGTACAATCAGTATTCAGTAAATGCTTTAAAAATTGTTAGTATTACTTTGACATATGCATATTTTTATAAGTTGTATACAGGTACATTCTTTAAATTGTTATATCGTCAACGAAAAGAGGCATTTTTATTATTTACTATCTGAGTACTCTTTAGTGGTGTAAATGTGTAATATTTTAATCAAATTGATTGTGTAAATCAAATTGATTGTGTAACATACAATTGGGTTTGAATTCCAAGTTTGCCGACCAATTGTTATATTTTAACAAGGCAGATTAGAAATGGTCAATAGTAAGAACTTACAATACAATCATTGTTAAAAATATATATCATACTACGTACTTGTATAATGCAACTATGCAATAAGGGTGCTAACATTAACTAGTTGTATGGAGTAATAAGTTCTAAAAAAATTCTAATAAGTTGTATAAATATGATTAAAACGTTCATCTAAGTAAAGCTCAAAGCTAATATCAATGAAATTTGGGCGAAGATAAGACACAAAGACATCCTTATACAAGTATCAATGCGTAGTTGATTAAAAGTTTTAACTTTTTTTTAAATGATGAGGCAAGGGGGCCAAGACTCAATAAAGTTCACAAAAAAAAAAAAAAAAAAAGGGGCGCTCAAGTTTGGAGTCGAACTTGAGACCTCTCTCACCACGCTTTCTAGTCACCACGCAAAACTCAAACTACCAACTGAGCTATAATAGTAGAGAAATGGTCATTTGCGTCGCACTTTTAGAGTGTATTTGCGTCGGTTCTAGGTGCGAAGCAAGTGTTCGCGACGCAAATGCCTTTTAAGTCATTTGCGTCGCTCATTGGTGCGACGCAAATAACTCTTATTTGCGTCGCACTTTTATAAAAGTGCGACGCAAGTGATAATTATTTGTGTTGCTTATTTACAAAAAACGATGCAAATGAGTGTTATTTGCGTCGCTTATTTATAAATAAGCGACGCAAATGAGATTTATTTGCGTCTTTTTTTTAATAAAAACGCGACGCAGATAGTGTTAAATGGTGAAGCGAATTCTAGTTATTTGCATCGCTTTTTTACAATATTGTGACGCAAATGAATCTTGTTTGACAATTCAAAAGCGAATTATTTGCGTTGCTTGTTTGTTTAATGATCAGCGATGCAAATGATATATAAATATATATATGATACAAAATAAAAAGTAAGAAGCAATAATAAAGAATTCAAATATAAATTTTGGCAGAGTTTCCTTTGTAATTTGGCCTACCCATAAATTTGGGAATGACGGCAGCATATCAAAAACCTGTCCAATAAATTTACAACTCAATTCCATTGATATTATAGTCATCATTCAACACAAATCACCAACACCAACCCAAATTGTTGGTAAACAAAATACATACATTCATGTCAATCCTAACAAATAGAACAAGAGTCTAACAAGTAAATGGAGTTTTGTAAGTGTAGATCTAAAGTTCAACATTGCATACAAAATAGTCTGCCCAAATATCTCGAACCTCGTTTATCTCCTCATTTGTGTACGGTGTAGATCTTGAAAAATCCTATTAGCACAACACAAACAATAGATCAGTGCAAAAGTTTAATCCAAGTGTAAGTACTTCAAATTGTATTTATTAAGTAAAAATGAAATATTTGACACCTCATACCGTAATAAGGTCCTCACTATTATGATGATATTGCATTATTTCGAACATATAACGCATGACGTAATAGCCACATTCACGTCCACCTAATTGTTGAGGACACTACATACATTATCACAATTAGTTCAATTTAATTGCTATACATAACATTATTAAGAAAGTATATTTTGGGTAAGGAATTAAGTTAAACCTGTCCCAAATTCCATGTCAATTTACTTCCCTTAGATTGTCCACCTAGTGTCTTGTAATTTCGAAAAGCACTACACATTTGAAATAAATAACATATTTGTGCAAATTATATAAAAGCATTTATTAACCTTAAATAAATTCACATGACTCTATAAACAAACAAACTTACTTTGTCATTGGAAACTTAATTGCCAAATTTCGCTTTTGCCTCATAGAATCAAAGATGTAGACCTCACGTTTAGTCATGCATAATACCAAAAGAACCCAATGATTTATTCTCTGTTTGGTATTTTAAGGCAACACTACTAAACTCCTCAATTCCACTTAAAAATCTTGTAGAATTTCGTTTAGCATACATCCAACTTCGATCAATTTTCACCCACTGTATAATGAAAATTAATTTTAAGATAATGGCTATATTTTCTAGCATACATAATTCCTTAACAATGAACAAGATTATAAGGCATAGAACATTTTCATTCAAAGTTTATCTCATGTAAATGCAATGACATGATCCAATCAGGTCCTTATCACTCCAACCTAACCCATTCTTGAATGTCCTATCTCATTAGTAACTACTTGGTAAAGCTTTGGTTCTAAAGAAAATCCGGCAGCATTTCCCTATAGTTCTCCAAGCACACAATGTAGATAATCGAGTATCGACATATGTACCCAGAGAACAATCGAAAAATAGCGTGGGATGATTTTCTTAGATCCAAAAACACTTCAAGTAGTTACAACCTAAATGAGATAGAACATTCAAGAACAGTCCCAAACCGGGGACTATTTAGAACTTAATCCTAATGAGTAAGCCCTGAACGGGTATCTAAGCCAATGATGTAAACATTATTACAATTTCAATCAATTATATCACAATTAGGAAGACTTCAGCTAATACCAATTGGCACATAATTACCTCGAGTTTCTCGAGCAGATGATGTATGGTGGAATCCGCTAGCCGATGAAACTCGTCTTCCTGAAGCACAGAACTGTTTTCACATCAGTTATTATCACGATCGCAGTGGTATACACTAGTATCACAAACAGCATCAGTGACTAGCAATAAGGAATTTACAGTATTCTTAAGTTGCTTATTCATCTAATTTAACAAAAATTCTTCAACAATATAAAGAAAGCAAATCATCCCTAAAAAAACCCTCAAACAGCAGCACAACAATTATATACACAAAAAAAATTATACTTTCAATTCCAACAATGAAAAAGGTTTCAAATTCAAACTAACCCAAATCAAAATTCTAAACCAGCAACTTCCTAATTCACTTAAAATTCAAAAACAATACCCAATGCAATTCTCCCCAGTTCCAGACTAATTAACTAGATTTGGCCCCAAAAAAACCTAAATTCTGAAGCAAATATTGAACAAAACAAAAATAACAATCAATTAAAAACGGAAAATTTGCTCGAATTCAATAAAAAAAACGGAAAATAACAATAAAAAAAACCTAAATTCACGAATTCGCTGCACAAGTTTAGGGTTCATTACCTGTGCATTTATGCTCGAAAATTTGCTCGAATTTGTTGCTCGAAAATTCTTCTTATGCTGCTGCTTGGGAACGAATGAAGAAGGTAGCTTAATTACCTTCGAATTTTTGCTCGAATTCGTGCCTTATGCTGCTGCTGGGAACGAAGGAATAAGGTACTTAGAAAAGTTTTGGGAACGAAGGAAAGTTAGAAAGGTTTTTTATTTTGTTTTCAGTTTTGGAATTACACTATAGGTTAGCAAATTATTCACAAAATCATTTGCGTCACTTGTTCCTAAAAGAGAGACGCAAATGACATTATTATTTGCGTCGCTCTTTTAGTAATAAGTGACGCAAATAACCTATATCAGTGTTATGCGTCGCACTTTTAATAAATAAGCGACCCAAATAACTTAAACTGAACTTAAATTATATCATTTGCTTCGTTTGTTTCTACAAGCGACGCAAATGAGGTGACGCAAATGAGCATTTCTCTACTAGTATATCATTGGCAACACAGTAGTTAAGCTAAAGATTTACTATTTATTAGTTTTTTATGGGGGCTAGACTAGAAAGCACACATATCACCAGTTGGGCCACGGGGGGCCGGGCCTCCACCACCCCCCCCTTGGTTCCGCCCTTGAGATTGGTGGTAATACCGTGTCTATTTCCAAATTTCATGAGCGCAATGTAAGGTAGGTTAGTTTGTATTGTAATCCAAATATTTTTTCTAATGTATATCGCGTATGTGGTGGGGAATCACTTGTTTGCTAAGTCATATATCGTGCATTTCGCTCTATGCCATTTAGTGAGAGAGGTAGCGTATGGTGGGATTAGAGCTGCCAAAAGCTGATCAGACCCTAAAAATTTACCCGAACTCGATTATTAACTAACCTGTTTGAATCCAAAAAAATGGTGACCCGAACCCGAACATGAACCGACTTGGAGATAACTCGACTTGAATATAACCCGTAAATTATTGACCCAACTCGAACCCGAGAATGACTCTAACTCGTTTTAACCCGTTAAAACCTGAATTAAAGCCGACCGACCTATTATTCACCCGACCCGAATGTAACCCGACCTGTTATTGACCAGACCTAAACCCGATAAGATGTATGACCCGACTCAAGCATGACCCAACCCGAATTGAACCCGACCCACATAGGATAGGTTACGACATTGACCCGACCCGAGTTGACCCAACCCAAACCTAACCCGTTTACCCGAATCGACAGCTCTAGGTGGGATACGTGTTTTTTTTTTTGTTTTAAGAATATTCCATAATATAGATTGATAGAATAGAGTTATGGAAAATTAAACTCCACCAAGATTCATTCTCTCTAATAGAAATTAATAAATAAATAAATAAAAAGGTATGTTTTCTCTCCAAGAAAGAACTTATTATATTCACTTTTAAAATTGACATAAAATTAAGTTTAAACTAATAAAAACTAATTTTAATGAACCAGTAAATATATATATTTAAGTAAAGCATACTCTTCTTTGATTAGTAAACTAATTAAGTTAATAAGAGACAAAAAGTTAATCAACAAGAATAAAAATTCTAATTTTTAAATTAAAATAAAGAATTTACATTTAGGCTTTATTCTCTTCACCTAATTTTATAAAATAAACATTATGTTTATTCAAAACTGCATATGTTGTACAAATTAAATTGATAAATAAATAAAAAGGTATGTTTTCTCTCCAAGAAAGAACTTATTATGTTCACCTTTAAAATTGACATAAAATTAAGTTTAAACTAATAAAAACTAATTTTAATGAACCAGTAAATACATATTTAAGTAAAGCATACTCTTCTTTGATTAGTAAACTAATTAAGTTAATAAGAGACAAAAAGTTAATCAACAAGAATAAAATTTTAATTTGTAAATTAAAATAAAGAATTTACATTTAGGCTTTATTCTCTTCACCTAATTTTATAAATATAAACATTATGTTTATTCAAAACTGCATATGTTGTACAAATTAATAATTCTTCCTAATTATTAAAACAAAATCTTATAGAGTATTGATGAGTAACTCAATGTAATTTTTTTTATTAGTTTTTAGACTATACATTTTATTTAATTTGAAAACAACATGGTTTTAGATAAATCAAATGAAAAATACATAGCCTTACAAATATGTTCAATTATTACTACAACTCAATTGCATAGGTGATATTAGAATAAAGTTTGAGCTCATATTAAAAAAAAAAAAAAAAAAAAGCAAAAAAAAAAAATTTACAATGAAGTGATTAAAACCAAGAAGTTATGCTTGCTTCCAACTTTTTTTTAATGATGTATACATAGTTTTTAATTTTTTATTTTTATGAATTATGTTATAGATATGTGTACATTTATGCACGCATCACATGAATGCAAATGCATAAAAAGCTAGTATTGTTATAACAAAGTAGGATGAATGAGAGACATCCAAATTTCTAATTCTAACATGTTAATTTCAATTCAATTATATTTCCATATTCAAAGCATTTATGAAGTTTTGCCATATTTATTTTGAGTGTACCATCTCAACCATCCACGCTATCTCTATAATCATAATACGCGCTTGAAATGTTACCGCACTCATCTAATATGCCAACATAACAATGAGATTGAGTCGTTTACTTAATCCCAAAGATCAACAATGAGCTCTTGCCCCTTGCTTCCACTACTCGAATAGCTATCAATAATTTGCCCCCAAAAAATCGAAAAAAATCTTCTTCAATAGTATGCTTTAGCCACAAGTAATTCTTTTAATAACCTCCACATGTAAAATTCATACGTGAACGTACTAAATTTAGTGACACAAAAACGCAAAATATGCAAAAAAAAAAGTTGTAATAGTGTTACACTGCACAATTGAGTGCTTTTCTTTGCTGGGTTTTCGCCTTCCCTTCTTTTTGGGCTTTTCTAGGCCAAAGAAAAAAAATGTCCTACAAAATTAAATCACTTTGGACTAAATAAAAAAGAAGTAGAAAGTGACCCAAAATTATAAAGTACATAATGATATATATTTTTTTTCGAGGGAAAAAACTGCACGAATCAATGAATCATGATTTTATAACTTCATGTGCCGTAATTCAAATATTTTATTTTCCATGTAACTAAATTATACAGTATAACAGTAATAACTAATAATTTGGTAACCAATTGGCTGTTAGTGTAGTGGTGATTGAAACTATAGCTGGTAGGAAAAATCGCGTGTTCGATCCCCCACAACAACTGAGAGGGGATTGGAACCTAACCACCCAAAACTAATCCTCCAAATTCGGATTAATCCAAAAGGTGAACCAGGTGGAACATCAAAAAAAAAAAAAAAAAACTAATAATTTGGTGTAATAAAATTGGATATTTGTTCATCAACCAAGCGATGTACGTAGGCATTTAGCAATGAAGTGAGCTTAACTTAAAATTACTCTTTGATATGAATCTAAAAATGATCCATTGACAATATTGTACGGGCCAAGATTGTGTTCACACCAGGGGTGTTCAGATCCGGGTACCCGGAACAGCGGGTACC